TAGCTTGTGGTCTCAGCCCCCGTGCCCCCGCCCCCCTGGACAGCGTTGTCTAGACGCGAAAATATCGCTGTACATGACACAGCAGTCCACCACTTGTCGATAAAACTATTGGAGGGATAGGCGAAACGTTGGCGTTCATGACACACCACAGCACTAAATAAATAAAGATAACACCACCAAAATTTCACCGTAGTTGCGACAGACCAACGGCACTCATGGTGACAACAATAACTGACAGCAGTTCTCCCCCCCCGTATGTCTTCGCCGTTTCTTGCCCCCTTCAGCGAAAGATAGTGGCGACACTGTACCAACAAGAAGTCGACCGCATCCACGCCGCGTACGAGACGGCCGTCGAGCAGGTGTGTATGCAAATGTAAAAGAAAATGCAAATGCAAATGCAAATGTGTGTCGCTTGGAAAATGGGCATACAGTAGCAGAGACCACACCGTTCGAGATAGAGAATGCTGCCCCATTAGAAGGAATGTGTTATTGAATTGTTACCGCAGGGAGTGTTGAGAGAAAAAACCTGCTGGATGCTGGGTTTGTTTTTGGTGCATATGGAAGGGCACATCTGTGCGTTGACGGGCAGGAGAGTTGTAGCACTGAAAGTATGACGCATGCGCGCACCCTTGTGTGTTTTTTGTTGCTGAAACAGCTATCAGAACTCTCGTTTTTTTCTTCAGAGAACAATGAATCTTGCCCATGGCAATTGCACGTGCTTGACCCTGTTCGGCCGACCTACGGGCGAGAATTAGCGGTGAATTCACAATGTTGTGTGATGACCTCTACCTTTGTTCCTACGGTGTTTCTTACGCCACCCTCGTTCTCTCTTTTCGCTCCCCGCGGTTGCGCAGACACGGGAGAGGCTTCTGACAGAGGCTAACGAGGAGATCAGGAGGTCCAAAAACCTAATGGAGGGCTTCAAGGAGGGTGAGTGGTGGTGTAAGACATGAAAGGGATGGGGGTGCTGTACCCCACAAGACGGCACGGCCGTAGCTATCAAACCGCGTTGACTCTCGCATCCCCGTGCACGAAACCGACCAGGAACTACTAACCACGAGAAGTTTGTCTGCGTGCAGCCGCGGTACAGTCTCTCACACACGTGTCTTTTCCCTCCGGAAGTACATATTTAGCTTGTTCCTCATATAGTTTTACCGTTTGCACCACGCGCTGCTGCTACCCGTGAGACTCTCCAACAACTCCATGTGTCTGCCACCTCAAGCGGAGTTGTTCGGACCTCTTGTGTGCGTTACATTGCTGATCGGTACTTTCCCCTCTTGCTGTTCCTCC